GTGTGAAGCGGCTGTCGTAACCGGTGTGGCTGCATAACCGGTGTCAACCAGTGTCTGCGCCAACCGAGGTGTATTGTGTCGCCTCGCGGCAGATGTGAAGCAGTGCCTTCGTGCCGAAGTGTGGCTTAATGTCGCGCTATAATGACCAGTGTGAAAGCTGGCAATCATATAACCAGCCAGTGTGAAGCGAAGCAATGCGCCTGCTGCAACCCGAATTGAAGCTGATCGCGCCTGCACCGGCAGTGTGGCCAATATGTAACCGAATTATTATTGCTGATCGCCAACCGGGCGCTGCGCCGAAATTAACGAGGAATATATAACCGAGACCAATCAGCGAACAATCTGCCGGTGTGGCAACGATCTCGTAACCGAGTGTGGCAACAATCGCTAAACGAGTGTGGCTAACGTCGCAACCGAATAACCGGGTAACGATCATAACAACCGAGTGTGAACAAACGACTCTTCTCGCCAATGAGTGTGGCTTAACAATCGCATAACCGAGTGTAGCTATCTCGTAACCGAAGTGTAATAACCCGAGGTGTGGTAACATCCTGCTCGTAACCGGTGTAAACAAGCGTCCTAACGCGATCTTCTCGCCAACGGTGTGGCTAACGTCGGCAGTAATGGCAAACATCCTCCAGGCAGGCTGTCACCTTCTCGTATCACCAACCGGGGTGTGGCAACAATCACCTCATCAACGAAGTTATTAATGCACCTCTCTAACCAGTGTAATAGCTGATCTGACCGTCTGGGCTTAATACAATCACCTCTCACTTCGGCCAGTGTCACCTATCATGAACTTGGTGTAACGATCACCTCTCGCGTAACCAGTGTAAACGGTACTATAAAGCAAACTTTATTTATCGTCTGGAAGCAATCATAACCAGTAAGCAAACAATAAAAACGTCACCTCGCTATTGGTGGCGGCAATCTTTCTCGGCCAGTGTGGCTTAACGATCTCTCGCAGCAGATGTGGCTATTGTCTCGCTAACCAGTGTATTGTCACTATAAACCAGTAACTAATAATCTTCTCATAACGAAGTGTGTAATCCTAACACGAACCGTCTGGAAGCTAACAATCTCTCTAACCGAATTAATGAGCGAAGCAATCACTATCGCCAACGAGATAATGACGAAACTGTCACTTTCTGCATAACCGGGTGGCAAACTCGCCAACGGTGTAACGAAGCAATCTATAAAACCGGGTTATTTGTTTAATCTTTCGTAACCGAGATAACCAGCTAACGGTACCTCTGATAACAGTGAAATGGTGTGTATGTCACCTCGCCAATTGGCGGTACATGGCAAGTGTGGCAAACGATCGCGAATCTGGCTTGGCAATCTTTCTCTGTCGATAGCGGCTTAACAGTCGGCTCTCGCAACCGGGTGTAATCGCTAACGGTGTATAGTAACGTCGCATAATGGCCCAACAGTGCCTCGCCAACCGAGTGTGGCAATAATGCGTAACGAACAACCGAGTGTAATGAAGCAATCTGTAACCGATAACCAATCTTCTGACGGTATTGAAGCAAAACCGAGACAATTTAACTGTTATTATTGGTAATCTCTCGCCGGAATTGATAATCTCGTAACGGTGTGAAGTAACGATCTTTCGTAACCGAGTTGACGGCTAACAATCTTCTCGTAACGGAGATGGTAACGATCGCAACCGGTGTGGCTAACGTCGTAACGGATGACAATCTTCGCTGATGTGGTAACGGTCGTAACCGGTTGATAACGACGGTGTGATACTTTCAACCGGAATTAATGATCACCTGTCGTAACGGTGAAGCAACGATCTCGTAATGAAGCTGACTGATAAGTGGTGATTTTCTCGCCGACCGGTCAATGATATAAACGGTATGGCGAACGGTATATGACGATTAATGGCTAATAATCATATGACCGGCTGACGATCTCTCTGGTGTAACAATCGCCTCGCAACCGAACTTCGTAACGGGTGTCAGGCGGCACTTCGTAACCGGTCAATGGTAACGATAAACAATGATCTTCGGTGATAGATATGCTATATGACCGGAATTAATGGCTAACGATCTCTGTGGCTAATCTGCTCATGACGGATATGGCTGACGATTCATCAACGAGTTAATCGGTAACGATCATATGACCAGTTAATGGCTATTTGATCTATTTGACCGTCTGGAAACGGTAATCGCATATAACCGGTCAAACGATCTTATATTGGCTGACGTCTTATAAACGTAATGGCTGTCGCATAATCGACGATTATTGATAACGGTATATGACCGTCTGGAATCGGTATCAGTAACGATCATATCTTCAACGGCGCAATCGATATGACCGGTCAATGACGATCCTCTTTACGATATCTTGATTAACGATCGTATGACGGTGGCGTCGATAAACAAACCGGTCGTAATGACATTTCGGAATGACGATCTTCATCGACGGTATCTTCCATCAACCAGTATGAAGCTGACAATCATCCAGTATCAATGATGATCGCCTCATGACGAGTGTATTCAACGATCTATATGACCGGTCGATAATGGCAAATCTTGAATGATATCATGTCACCGGTCAGTAATATGACAATAACGATGATACCAACCGAGATATGATAACGATCATAACGGTAACAATCTTCATCAACAATAACGATCGATAATGACGATCCTTCTTCGCTGACAGTCAATGACGTCATACTCGCCAATTGGTAATCTGGTCGAATGACGATCTGACCAGTTAATGACTGATCATATACGTAACGGCGAATGATCGTAACCGGATAAACGATCGACGACTGATAACGATGATAACCGAATGACGATCGCGTAACCGGATGACTGATCACCCTCGCCTTTCAACTGTGGCAACAGGCTCGCTGCTGTAGCTAACAATCTTCATAACCAACTTTGTAAAGCTAACGATCCTTTCTCGCCAACCCGAGATAAACGTCACTCTTTAACGAATAAGCTAACAGTGAATGAGTAACGATCACTTCTCGCCAACCAGGTAATAGCTAACAATCACCTCTCATAACCAGAGATAACAGGCCAACGTCCTTCTCATAACCAGTGTATTGTACCTCACAACCAGTGTGGCAATCCTCATAATAACTAACAATCACCTCACAACCGTAACAACTAACTCTTACAACCATCTGGAAGCTAACTGTCCTGCTAACCATCATGTAACAATCACCATGGCTGACCGCAAATAATCATGAATGTTACAACAACTTACCGGGCAATTTATTTATCTGCAAACGGTCATAAAACCTCTCACGGCTGATATTGCCTCCCTCTTTCTCTTCGCTCTCCAACTCAATGATCATCTCTGACAACCACTCTATCCCACCTCCCACAATCACCTCTGCAACCATCCATAATCACCGCCTCTGCAACCGCACTCATAATGCCTCGCAACCTCTGTCGCCTCTGCAACCGCCTCTCTGCAACCGCCTCCCGTAATCGCAACCGCACTCATAATCACCTCTCACAACCGCCTCTGGCCACCTCTATAATCTCGCAACCATCGCACTCTATAATCACCTCGCAACCTCATAATCTTTATAACCGCCTCTATAATCTCTGTTCACCTCTATAATCATAACCGCATCTGTCTGGCTGCCTCTATAATCACCTCACAACCACTCTAATCGCCTCTAACCACCTCCCATCTCTGTCACCTCTATAATCTCTAACCACCTCTATAATCACCTCTGCGGCCGCCTCCATGTCACCTCTGTCACCTCTCATAACCGCCTCTGTCACCTCTCCTGGCCACCTCTGTAATCACCTCCGCAACCGCTCTATGTCGCCTCTCCCATGTCACCTCTGCAACCACTATGATCGCCTCTCCGCAACACTAATCTTTTCTGCAACCACCTCTGTAATCTCTGCAACCGCCTCTGTAATCTCCGCAACCGCCTGTCGCCTCAATCTCGCAACCACCTCTATCGCCTCTCGCCCTCTATGTCTCTGCAACCACCTCCCCATAATCACTCTGCAACCGCCTCTATAATCTCTAACCACCTCTGCATCACCTCCTAACTCACAACCGCCTGTCGCCTCAACCTCTATCTTCACAACCGCATATCACCTCTCTAACCATCTCTTTAACCACCTATAATCACCTCCTGGCTCTATCGACACCTCTCCTAACCACTATCGCACAATGCCTCCCAATCTTATCTCCTCTGCCTCTCTAACCATAATCTCTATCACCTCAACCGCCTCTATAATCACCTCTGCACCTCCCCGCCTCTGGCTTCCTGCAATCGCAACCACCTCTGTAATCACCTCTCACCTCTATAATCGCCTCTAACCTCTAATCACCTCTCTATTTTCTCTATAATCACCTCTGTACCTCTGTCTGGCTCCGCCTCTCTGGCTCCTCCATAATCTCACAACCACCTCCTATAATCCTCTCTATAATCACCTCTCCTGAACACCTCTGCCTCTAACCACTATAATCACCTCTATTCACCTCCATAATCGCATAAGCCTGCTATAATCGCTCTCACGGCCGCCTCTGTAATCTTGCTCTCGCAGCCGCACTCTGTAATCGCGCTCGGCCGCATACGCCAGTCGGCTCACGAAGCCTCTCGCAGCCGCACTCTGTAATCTTATCGCAGCCGCATCTGTAATCACCTCTCACAGCCGCCTCTGTAATCGCATCTCACAACCGCCTCTATAATCGCCTGTCACGGCCACCTCCCGCCAAGCATCTCACGAAGCCACCTTACTTATAATCAAGTGACCAATTCATATGGAATTCGTATAAATGCGGCCTCATTTGCCTCACGCGACACCACACCCGCACCGCGCCGCCAATTGATTTAGCCATCTCCAACCGCCATCCACGAATTCTCCCTGGGTCAATCCACAATCATCCTAAGAAGGTACACCTTCACAACCACCTCAGACCACGCCTCCTTAACATCTGACAGTCATTTCTAGCGGTCAGCGTCGCAATCACCTCCACAAAGCCTCCAGGTCAATCACCTGTCACAGCCAGAGTCCCACGGTCATCTTTACAGCCATCCTCTCATCTCGCCCTGGCGTGCACCCTCATCATCAGCATCCTCCTCCAGAGACGCAGCAGGTAGACATGAACCGGATCCTGCCAGCCATCATCTTTCGGTACCAGGAATGTCTGTGGCCCACTGGAACATACATGAACGGTGGTGACCGGGCAACCTCCACATGCCGGGTGAGACAATGGTGATGAATTGACACACATTTTCATGCCACATCATGACCAACATATTATCGTAATCATGTTAAAGGGCTGGCAGTGGTTAAGCGTTTAACAGATCGTGCCAAACACTTCGGGATCGATTCCCATGGGTACAGTAATGAAGCTCGGTTGTCCCCACCATGACTTTATGGAATATTGCTAAAAGTGGCACAAATGCCATTGCATGACCAACAAGATTTTATGTTATGTCACTCGGCAGTTGTATTATCAAAGTCCTCAACCAACAAGTTGGCGCTGTCAAGTCTTGACCAGCTTGTATTAATGTCTTGACCTTGACCAGCTTGGATTAATGTTATGTCGATTGACCAGCATGTTTTGTGCGTAGCGACCAGCATGTTTTAATGCCATGTCCTTGATAGCATCGAACGTGTAATGTCGCCCGATGGCAATGTTTCTGTGTCATGTCGCGACCAACGTATTGTTATTGTCGTATACCGGCCAGCATGTGTTAATGTCGTGTCATACGACCAGCATGTGTTAATGTCGTGTCATACGGCCAGCATGTGTTAATGTCATGTAGCGGCCAGCAGTGTTGTGTCGTAATCGCATTAATGTTAATGTCATGTCGCTTGACCAGCGTAATGTCACTTACAGTATTGACGTGGCGCACAATGTCATGTCAGTTATTAGCATGAGTTAATGTAATGTCGCACGGTGGCGTATTATTGTGTCATGTCGCGGCGTAACGTGTCATTATTAAAAGCGGTAACGTAATGTTAATGTCATGTCGCCGGCCAGCATGTTTCAGAAATGCCGTGTCGCTTGACCAGCGTGGCTGTGTCAAGTCACTAGACCAGTTGTCCCTGCGGCGTTGATAAGCGACCAGCATGTTTTAATGTCATGTCGCCCGGCCAGCATGTTTTAATGTGTCACTGGGCAGGATGTCCTCGCGGTGGGTGTCGCTGATGGCATGTTTTAATGTCGCGATAAAGCATTAACACATTTTTTAATGTCATGTTTAGCCTCGTTTTGATGAATTCTTTGAAACGGAAATGATTTTTGGGAATGGAAGTGAAACAGAGACAAGCATGTTGGCACTGACCTCCAGAGTGAAGAGAATTAGAGCGAACGGTGGCATTGACAATGGCCTGGGCGTGGGCATGACATCGAGTAGCTGATGAGTTGTCTGTAAGCGATCGAAACAGTCACTTTTAATGATGATGCTTGTGTGGGAATATCGGCACCACATGCTCATATTGGCTGCTTGGAATGATGCTCGTCGCGGTGGGAATATGCCAGCACTGTGGTATGATGTTGTGCTAAGATGTGTGTATTGACGGTAAAGATTGTTATGGAATATACCAACGCTGTGGTATGATATTGGCATAAGATGGTATATTGGCGCTAGATGTAGTATGGTAGGCTGTGATGTGGTAATGTAGGGGCATGAGTCATCCACAGATGACATCCTTACTGTCAGGTTAACCTCTTAGGTCATCGGGACTATGCATCCGGCTTGAGGATCCAGAAGGTCTGGTTCAAATCCCAGGGCGGGGGATGGAAATTTTATGGATTTGCTACGGTGCCGGGAATAATATTGCATGAAATAAAACCTATGGAATGATATTGTGATATGGAATGATGTTGGCGATATGGAATGATATTGGCGATATGGAATAATATTATTGTGATATGGAATGATGTTGGCGATATGTGGAATGATGTTGGCGATATCAGAGAACTGATGTTGACAATAATAAAATTGTGATATGGAATGATGTTGGCGATATGGGGTAATGTGGCGATATGGAATGATGTTGGCGATATGGAATAATATTGTGATATGGAATGATTTTTGTGTCACGGAATGATGTTGGCGATATGGAATGATGTTGGCTTGATATGGAATAAAAGAGTGTGATATGGAATGATATTGTGATATGGAATGATGTTGTGATATGGAATAATATTGTGATATGGAATGATGTTGATGTCACGGAATGATGTTGGCGATATGGAATGATGTTGACATTATGGAATGATATTGGCCGATGGAATAAAATTGTGATAATAGGTAGTGTTGACGATATGGAATGATGTTGTGATATGGAATGATGTTGGCGAATGGAATAAAATTGGCGATATGGAATGATGTTGGCGATATGGAACAAAATTGGCCGATATGGAATAATAATTGGCGATATGGAATGATATTTGCCGATATGAATGATGTTGCCGA